TAAAGCCGCAACAACGAACTACAGGCTTTCCAGCAGCACGCAACTGCGGTTCGCAGCTGTTTCAAGCACTGTCTACCAAGGGCGCGTTGTTGCCGAGTCCGGCGGTGCCGGCGGGAGCATGCTACCTATATATACCTTCTCTACCAGCGTTCGCATACGAATACAGACAAAAAAGTGAACAATGTGTCAATGTCTGGAAATCTTCTTCGAGTGGCTCCATCGGGAATAATATAGTCATGGATTGCAGGCTCTCTCACCCGTGTTCGATGCTGTTGATTGGATAGTAGCCCGAGTCGACGCAACTCTCCATGCCTTGGACCATGTTGGGCTTATGTGCCCTGAGTAACCGAGGTTCATATGAACATTGCGTCCGATCGGATTGCAACTAACCGTAGATATCTAGCCTTCAAAATCTTCTACGATCTATTCTTGAGCCTGTACTCCTTGACGTTACTGACATGCAAGAAAATGCATCTAATATCTGGGGTTGCTCATGTGCACAGGACACCTAGTATCAAGTCGTACCGGTATGAAATCAAGGCCAACTTCTGTCTCCAAGCTCTTGGATTCCTTCCAAGCACGGCCAAACGGTAAGCACTAATTTTTGCCTACTTAAGCATGCAATCCATGGCCTACAATGGCGACCACTCTTCCCCAGATCATCACATCTTGGCAAGTAATGAGGATTCTAGGAGGGCAGCTTATCACTTGACTTTGAGCTCGTATCACTGTACGCGGATTAGTAGTCGAGTCTAGTGGGTTACTTGAGCTTACTCAGAAATACCCAGAAGCTCATGATTGATCAAGTTTCTGGATGATGCATGTCAGAGGGGGCGCAGCTAGTCCATGACGCTTCTAATACAGCAAGTACCAGGCTTCTGTTCAACACATGTGGGATCGCCGAACCTCAGGCCATACACGCAGACTTTCAGATCTCGACAGGAATTATTGATCGGGGAGGAACTAGGAGCCATAGAAGCTTGAAAAGGTTCCCTCAAACGTCACTACGTCTTAGAATTCTCATCTATATGTCGAGGAGATATCTCGTCGTCAAGCTTAAGCCATCCTTTCACAGGTGATATAACCACACGCAGCGTACATTGAGTATTTGATATTCCGAGCGAAATGGAACTCAGATTCTATTTTATAATCTCCCTGATGGCAACTTTAGCAACTGGCCAAACCTGTTACTGGCCTAATGGGGTTCCGAACGATGTTGTCAAACCTTGCCCTGTTGCCGCAGGCACCGAAGCAGCCGCATGCTGTTTCGAAGACCATTATTGCCTGACAAATGGTCTTTGCTTCGAACCTTTGACGTTGACCATGTATCGTGGGGCTTGCACCGACGATACTTTCCAGTCAAGCGGGTGCCCCAAGTGCTGCGACAAGAGCGACATACCTGGAGGCGGTGAGTGTGGCTTCGATCGACAACTACTAGACAAACCCATTCATGAGCATAATTGCTAATATATGGATTCATGCCTCATAGACAGTTCGCTGCATATCGGCGTCTGGACTTGTGGTAACGCACGATTCTCTTGCAGCAACCTACAGAATTGTGCGACCGGCAACTTCACCGTCAGTCTTCCCGGCAAGATTTTATTGAACGAAGCGGCAAGCACGGATCTTGGCGACTGTCCCGCGGCTACATCGACAACTGGAACCAGCACTGTTACGTGCCCTGCGGACAGCCATACAGACACCCAAGGCAGCATTTCTCCAGGCGCCGCGGCGGGCATTGGCGTTGGCGTCGGCGTGCCTCTTGCAATTATTGCTGGGGCACTGGCTTTGATGCTATTGCGCGAGAAGAAGAAGACGGCGAATACCACGCAAACATTAGAGATGACTGAGAACGACGGCTCAAAAACTGGTGGTTCGAATTCACAGTTCGTTTGGGGCTATGCCAACGCGGTTGCTCCCGAGCTATCTAACCAGCAGCATGTTCGACACGAGCTGCCTCAATGAGGGTTAGAGAATGTCGATTACCTTAATTGAGAACCACTATTCTGTTCGTTGATAGAATTACAGTCCTGAGAGTATGTTTCAGAATTTGAGTTTGCTCCTGAGTTTTACACATATTGGATGTCTTGATTGTATGTTGCTAGTCTGTTGTATGAGTTGAAAATCTAATGAAATAGGTATCAATCTCGCTATAAGTGTAATATGTCTGTGTGACCTGCACACTCATCTGTACGTAGATGCAAAGAAGAATCGTAAACATGTCCTCGTACATAACGTCAATCAAGCAAAATATTCTGCTCGACGTTTGTTGATCCTGAAATCGTCTACCACAACGTCGCGACAGCGGCAAGAATAGTCGTCCAAAGCAGCGCCCTTGTTGGAGACAGCGAGCCGGCAAAGTTGCCTTCGCCCTTCTGGCCCTTTTCGAACCCTCGTTCGTCTCCACCGAGGTATAAAGCACCGAGGTCTGTCAGCCCGCCGTCGCCATCAAACAGCGACACGGAGTTACCGGTCCAGGCATTGGCCTCGTCCTTGCGGAAGGCACCGAACCAGGCGTAACCTTCGACATAGTCCAGTCCATCCAAATACGTCAGACTCTCGTTCATCATGGCAAGAGTTGCATCCGTGTCTTGTTTAGGGAGGGCCATCTCCGTGATCCAGTACTTGAGATCTGGCGACGTGGAGTTGTAGAAATCCCGCAGCCCGTTGAGGTGGTTCTTGAGGCCGGTCGCGTCGCCGTACCAGTGCACGGCGACGAAGTCGGTCGGGCAGCCGTTGTCGTCAATGTCGTAACAAGACTCGTTGAACTTTTGCAGCCACTCGATACCCTGCGAGGAGCCGGTGACGACCGGGTGGCTGATGTTCCACTTGCGAGAGCCGGAGTTGCGGAAGGGCACAATGTGCTCGATATAGGCCTTAGCGGCATCTTCTGGGTCGATGCTGCTGCCGCCAGATGACGTCGTTCCGTCGGGCTCATTGAAGGTGAGGAGATGGGTGGATGATTCAGGTAGTGCGTTGAGACGTGAGCTGAGGCCTGAATCTGAGGCATCGTCGACGCCGTGGACGAGCGGGATGAACGCGATGGAGCTGTTGAGGGCCTGTGCAGGCCATGTTGACCATGTGTAATACCAGCTGATCAACGACTTTGCGGAGGTGAGCAATTGGCTATCGGCTGTGTGGTCGTCGCCTTGGAAAGCCAGCCCACGTTTTGAGGGCAGGTCGGACTGTGCGAAGGCTGTGGAGTGGAGGGCCAGCGAAGCTAACAGTATGCGACTGGTTCGTCTCATGGTGCCGCAGGTACAGAAATGGTCCTTGTCTAACGTGAAAGAGAGTAGTGGTTCGTGGAGGATGATCCTTGTGAAATTTGATGCACAGGAATCGGGATCGGATGCAGCCGATGGAGGTGCCGGCTTTGCAGATATATCTGACAATCTTTCGAAACTCGACCGTCCAAGTAAATGGTTGATGTTGCAATGGACAGAAGAACTTGTTTAGTCGAGAGGTCTGACAAGCAGGATTCCATCTTGCTGACGGCTCTGTCACCCATCCCAATCATTGACCTCATTCGATGCCATCGCGCTCTTGGCGAGGGGCGACTATTCGGTGACGTCATATTCCCTCGTCTCTCAGTCCTTGGTTGGTGCCAGTTGGACTGGCCAAGGCAAGCCCCCTTGCAAGCCGCACCGCAACGGTCTTCATTGCTGACAATCTCACAAGAGAGAATTGAGAAGTTGATTTAGCAAGGGTCCTGGTCGCGGTCCGTCATTGGTCTTGGGTCTAGACATGTGTTTAGCAGGGAGTGGTGCCATGGAAAAAAAGACTCCCGTTCAGTTGCGGTTGTCGGCGATGAGGCCCAGCACGCCCCTGTCAGATCATGTCATCGGTTCGCCCAGCGCGGTGGAGTAGCGCAGTGAGTGCACGCACTCTGAACTTGAACGGTTAATGAGCTAAGATAGGGAGCTTCCGCGGCAAGACAAAATCAAGCCCGACACTTGACTGCACTGCATACTGTACCAAGTGCACAATCGCAGAGGCACTGCAAATTGTTGCGACGCTGATCGAGAAAAGGATATGTGATGCAGTGGATTTAACCATAACTAGGTAGAGATCGAGACTCTGAAACCGCGGAAGATACCCAGCCAGTGCTCCTCCTCTTGTCGTTCATGGAGTAGTGCTTTTTTGGCACAATTTAATCTACGTGGATAGACAAAACTACTATACATTGACTTCCACCAATCGAAGCCCAACTTAAGCACCTCACATATGATTCCCTAGAAACCACATGTTGGGTAACGCATGTCGAATTGATTCCAAGTTACTCGGAGCCTCGGGAACATGGACGATTTAAAAGACTGCCCCCACATCACTCACAAATACGGGCGGACTTCGCAGCTGAACCCGCCTCAATGTCTTTAGGAGTTATTGCCTCCCCTCAGTATGCCACATCCCGTTTCAACTTCCAGGGCTCAAGTTGGCCGGAGCTCAACAGATGCTTTAACGCTGTATGAAGAAGCCGGCATTCCGTTGCAAACTCCATCATCTGAGCCGAGAGCGAGTCAGAGTCAACTACAAAATAGGCGGGTCTCGTCTCATATTTATCAACAGCGAACTTAATTGCACTACATGGAAGCCCGGTAGCAACTAAGAAATGGAGTTATCCGCCAGGTATATGTAGTCGACATAGTAGATACAGGATGCAGCCATTAGTGCGCACACGAATTGCTGCTGCTTGGTTCCGCAGGCACGTCCTTTACTCTATTTACGACAAGTCCAGTATCCGTACACTGCAGCTTTTCTTCCCTTGAGACATCATTCCAAAAACTTTCTTTTATGATGTGGATCTCTCTTGACTCTGTACGGACTGCGGAGCTTGAGCCAATTGTAGATGATATAAGTACAAATAGTCCTACAACATCCACATTGACAATACTAATACCTGATTAATCACATCAATCACACTTCACAATCACCAAAATTTTAACACCTAGCTATCGAGCTCAATCTTCTGCACCAAGCATCTTTCCGAGTACAGATTCATAATGCACTTCCAATCCACAACCCTCTTCCTTGCCGCCGCTGTCATCTTCCAGGGTGTTTCTGCGCAATTTTGCACTGGCCCTCCCTCAGACTGCAATTTTGAAGACGTAAGATTGCTCACTTGTCACTGAATTCTGGATGATCTCCAGGCACTGGAAAGATTAGGTGTTAACATTCCACTTATTGTAGTGCAGAATCAATTACGCTGATCCATGGGCGATCTGCAAGTCAAAGGTTCGTTTTCACTGCAAAAGAGCTCTGCGGTTTGGCTTTATAGCTGACTTGTATCTAGTGCACACCTGATTCAGGCCGAGATGCCGCTGTTTCCTGCTGCTCCGGATCGTTGTACTGTCCTGCATGAATAAGTACAGTACAATGTAACTGAGAAAGGAAAAAGGTTATGTGCAGGAGCGGATCTTATGACCATTTGGCATCTGCATGATCTGCCTTTCAAAGCGCCGAGAAGAAACCATACCTCTGTCTATCGTGTCAACGCCATAGCAACAGTGAATCAATGTACATATCAAGCTCTTATTCAGCCGCATGAGATTAGTCCTGGTAAAAACAGTTCCGAAAACAAAGTGGCAAGCCCAACCACACGAAAGCCATTGCTTATATTCTCAGTGTCGAACCTTGTCTCAATCTTGAGCAGATATTCTCTATTCCCGTGTGAAGCAGATCATCTTCGAGGCTGAGATACAAAAAGGCCAAAAGCAATGGTGCCTCGAGGGCGAATCGAACGCCCGATCTTCTCATGACGGACAACAGTACGAGTGAGACGCTTTACCACTGAGCCACCGAGGCAGGGTTAACCAGATCATGGTTGGTGGTCCACAGATGCTGGCGGGTCAGCGCGGGACGACTAAGGCACACCGCTGATTTGAGTCTCACGATGCACCGACCGAGTTGTTGGAGATTGTGGAGGTGGTTCGTCGAAACATTGTACGGGGGAAACTCTTTCATTCGTTGACGTATCTCTGTGTGGATGACTAACCTCCGCGCGGGTCGCTACGTCTTACCGTTCCCCGCGCGCGACTCGTTTCGCCTTTCCCCAAGTTGGGATGAAAGAACTTAGACATCTGCGCGCGGGTGTAAGCACCAAAGAAGCCACACAGGGTTGGTACGAGGAGACACCTCTCATAGGCTGCTATGAGAGCGGTAGTCTGTACATGCAGTCTTTGGCTGCGCATCTGTCTGACTTCAAGACGCCTCTCGCGATCGATGCGCGCGGGTCTGGCGTGCTTCTGAGAAGTTGAGAACACAGACAATGATTATCTCTCTGACGTGGTCAGGCGTGACTGGAACAGGACTACTTGAGTTGATTATGAATCAGCGGCGTGAGAGCTGAAGCTGCAAGACTTGGAGACAGAAGCGAGTAACACAATTTAGGTGCACATGGCGTTGGCTGTTCATCTTTGGTATAAAAGGCTGTTTAGCCATCTTGCAACAACTCTTACTTTCGAGTACTTGCACTCCATCAAACTTCATCCTGACACAGGCATTGTCGAACCTTTGCAAAATTCAGTCAAATCGCAGACATTCTGATCTCCAATCTTTCAATCTATCACTGATATGAGTGCCGCTAAGAAGGTTGCCGTCATCGCGACGAGCACTCGAACTCCACGCATTGGAACTAAGGTCGCGGAACTGGTGAAAGATACCATTACCACAGATGCTACCACCAATGGCATCGATCTGAATCTTGTAGAAGTCTCTTCTTTCAGACTTCCCGTCTTCGATGAACAGATCATTCCCGCTCAGGTCCCAGCTGCAGGTGACTTCGCCCACGAGCACAGCAAAGCGTGGAGCAGGGAAATCGCCAAGTACGATGCCTACATCATTGTGGTTCCAGAATACAACTACGGCCTGCCTGGCGGCACCAAGAATGCCATTGACTACTTGTATAACGAATGGATCGGCAAACCCATTGCTGTAGTCAGCTATGGCATCATGGGTGGCAACTCGGCGTCAGCGCAGGCGCAGAAGACGCTGGAGGGCATGAAACTCCGGGTTGCGCCGACGCGACCGGCGCTTGCTTTTGCGGGTGGGGCCGGACCGGATCTGGTAGCTGCCATGGGCCACGGAGAGATCGGGGAAGAGTCGCGGAAGAAGTGGGAGGGAGAATCGGAGAGCATACTCAAAGCCTTCGGTGAGTTAAAGGAGCTTCTCAACGCGCCGGCTCAGGCGAAGACGGAACCTTGAGAAAGTCTAACCTTGGAGAATTGAGAACCAACCGCCGGCGCCCATTGATGGTGGCTTGGAGAAAGAAGCTTGAATTTTAGCTAGAGCTAGTTCGTGAATTCTAGATCACCTAACCCAATTCAAGCGGTGGAACTCCACCTCGTAATATCGCTAAACCCCTGTCTACAGCATCGTATTCCTTCGTGTTGGTTGAGCTACTGCTCTGCTGCCTATTTGAAAGATACTGTGCCGCTTGGCTTTGCATTAGCCGGAAATTCTCGTCGCATCGGCTCACAATGTATTCCTTTATCACTCTTCGCCTTTTGTTCTCCCTTTTCCCTTCTTTTCCACCATGCGCATTTCATCGCCGTCATTCGTTTTCTGTCCTTCATCGTCATGAGGACGTCCGCTCTTTTCGCGCTCAGTGGCTGCGCTGCCACTGCCCTAGCGCAAGTTCATCTACCGTTCTCCCATCAACCTCAGCCGAAGGCCAGTAGCAATGTCGAAACCAAAGACGTGGCGGACCGTCGATCAGTTTCTGCGACGGATGTTTACGTGACGGACTGGAATTATCTGGTCAACGCCACTGTTGGTACACCGCCACAAGATATTTCCTTGAGGGTTTCTGTGCAGGCTGAGCATACCTGGGTCCCAAACGCCAAGTATTGCGACTATTACAACCATAGCGACTATTACGATTCTTCTTCCACCAGGAGCGCCTATTACCTCGATTCATATTCGTGCAAATACGGCGCATTCCAGAGCAACGAGTCATCCACCTACGTCAACCCCGGCACCGAGGACTTCAGCACCAGGTACTCGGTCGGCCGAGCTAAGGGAGAATGGATTAGCGACACACTAGGCGTGGCTGGCAGCCAGATATCCAAGATGATCATGGGCTATGTTCAATCGGCAGATGTATTGATCGGTGTCCTTGGCCTGGGTTTCAACACCACCGGAAGTGCACAATCTACCGCGAGCCCGAGCAGTACCTCGAATTATCCTACCGTTCCTGAACGCCTCGTACAAGATGGTCTCATTAGCTCCCCCGCGTACATTCTCTGGCTGGACGATTCATCCGCCACGTCTGGGAATCTTTTGCTGGGTGCGATCGATACATCAAAGTTTGAGGGCCCTCTGCTTCGTTTCTCAGTGCGAACAACGGGGTCATGGTCAACAAGCAGGCGATTTGACACCTTCATCACGTCCTTCAATGGTAGTAAGTCAGATACAGATGACCTACAGCCTCTCGGAGAATCTTTGCGTCAACAAACCGACGCATATGACACCTCGAACCTAGTGCTTCTCTCGCCAGATGCTGCTTTATCAGTGCTACCCGACGACATAGCCTTAGATCTTTGGGCTCTGGCTGGCGCTTCCTGGAATGATGACCTCGGCTACGCGATTATTCCTTGCACGGAAAACACCACCACGGGTCGCTTGGCTGTGCAGCTGTATGGATCGGAGGGACCTGTGTTGAATGTAGCTCTTGCCGACCTCGTGGTGTCTCAAGATGTTTGGTCCCATTCGGAGTGGTCTTGGGAGACCGAGTCGGCCTCCGAGTACTGCCTGTTTGGAGTCCAGTCGGAAAATTCCACCTCGACATACACGTCTTCTTCCTATCCATACTCCTTGGGCAACACATTCCTCAAACATTCCTACATGGTATTTGACCTAATCAATGAAGAGATTGGCTTTGCGAAGACAAAGTTCAGCAGCACGCAGACGGAAGATCTAGTTCCGTTCTCAAGCCACGGAGCTCAGATCCCCGCGTCAACGAGCGTCATGCCGGATTGGTGCTCATCTACCTCATCTCAATGTCGAACAGGTGATTCGGGTTCGGGCTCCGGAGGCGGATCCTATGGCGGTGGTACAACCTACCTGGGCGATGGCTATTACCCCGGACATCTCCCGCTGGAGGCAAACCTAGCCATCGGCCTCAGTGTCGGTGTCTTCTGCACTATGGTCATGGGTCTGTCTATCTGGGCCATCAGACGAGGCCGTCGCATTAGAAAGGCCCAGAAAGAGCTGGCTGAAAAGCAAGCCGACGTGGAACCCGGCGGCGAGACACAGGTCGGGGCCGCCGATGGAAATGCTTGCAACTTGGCTCAAGAAGCCTTGCGTCCTCAACATCCGCCAGCTGCAGTGACTCGAGATCCTTCTGTAACAGATGCAGATGCAGAGCAACGTGCTACTGGAACTGTGGGAACTGCCAAGTGAGAGAGTAGCGTTTGCCAGACAAATCCAATGCAACAATCAATTTGCGCATGCCTCGCAGCAGGGGATTCAATCGCTGAAACAATAAATTCATGGCGCTTCTGCCTCCTCACTCTGATCCTTCGACGATATATACTGCCGAGGGCCGGGGGTCAACGTCAGTTGCAAACCAAAGTAACGTGCGCTAAGGTAGTCACGAGATGTGGCAAGTTGATTGCCGGATAGCGACTCGGGAGGTAGTCAACGTTCACAACGTCGTAGTAGTTGCTGGTTGCCTAAATCTCGAGTATCATCCTGGCGTCGAGTGGTGGTTCGTTCCTCCTCGTAGATCCTAATCTTGAGCACCCGCTGCTTCGGTTTCCACTTGCAACGTTGCAGATCATATATCACTTGGAGAGAGCCTCATGGGCATTGCAGATGGCATAGAAAACCTCGGGGTCAACCGCCGATACAACTCTGCAATATGCAAGACATCAGATGGCAGCTGCTCAGATGGTGATAGTATCAATAAGGGTGCCCCTGATATAGCCGTTCTTGACGAAAGGGCGGAGCGGGTGATGTGCCGCTGCCGCCTTATCACATTTCCACCTTCCAGAAGGGAGTGGTGAGTTCCGTAGGATTTCTTTCGATGTGGTGCTTGGGCCGGGGTAACTCTGAACCGAGTTTGGCTGTTTCTGTTGCGGGTCAGTCTCTCTTTTGACAGCCTGTCTTGTTCAGTTGTCTCGGCAGTGCAAGTTGGCTTGAGTTATCAAAGACAACACCCACTCAATGGAATTGATAGTTGGCAGAAACACGTCACAAGTCTCTCCTATAACTCCCTTACCGCGATAAGAAAATCATAGCTTTTAGGGGATTCGCTAGAAAGGAAGCATGTGCTCACATTGGGCCTGTCCCAAACGGGCGATAAACCCACGCAGTGGAGGGTCACATTCGGCCCCGACTCGGTCATTCGCCCTACATTCGCCAAATTGTAGGCACATGGCCATTCAAGGGTAGGTCCTGAAGAATATCAGAACTCAGCCAATCTCAATGACTTTTCTTGTTGTGCTAACAGAGGAAAGTCGGCTACCACCTGCATTAGCCCCGGCCCCTCACCTCGCCCCCAGCCACTCACCGGGCACCATCGCCAAATCCTCACCTTTGGTGTTGGCGCTCCCTTGACACATAGAATTTCACAGCGAATCTCCGAGCTGTTACTTGCAACCAGTACTCTGGGTGGATACAAGAGACTATGGTGTGTTAATGGTACATTGAGCGGCCAGGCTCGCAGGTCATCGTCAACTTCATTGCTACCACTTGAACGTGACAAACAGACGACGCGCTCGAATTTTTGCACATGCACAGACCGACATACCAAGACTGAATCGCAGAAGCGGATCTAAGGGGTTTACAAGCCTAGTCAAAATTGACGACCTCATTTGAAGACGCGTAACGTTTCGCTGGGAATGGACCGGGTTTGCAAGTCACACCGAGACGACTGGACGTCAGGACTTGAACAATGACATTGTTGCTTGACGGCTGACTACTGTAGATAGCGTCTTGTCTAACATCGACGGACTCGATTAGTATAATATGATCAGTTGATCGCTTCATGTCCAGTGACGTGTACCTGACTTGCAGAGACATTCTCGTATTCACTCCTTTAGCAAATTATTTAACGGATCAATTCATACCGCTTTCAAGATGAAGCTTCTTCAATCATTAATCACTATGGGTGGCATACTTTCAACAGCTGTGCGCCCCTCCACGGCGGCGCCGACGAACATCACGGAGCGAGGTCTCCAAGGCTACACAAATGCAGTCTACTTCACTAATTGGCAAGTTGTTGTTAGACCTGAGGTGATAGAGCTCAGCTAATATCATTCAAGGGCGATATACGGTCGCAATTATCAGCCCCAGAATCTTCCAGCATCGCAGATCACTAATGTCCTCTATGCCTTCATGAATCTTCGCGCGACTGGTGAAGTGTAGGTCAATTCACAGCTCGACCTAGATGACTAGCGCAGGAACAGGCGAGCTAACATTCCAACCCACTCAAAGTTACACTGCCGATACCTACGCCGATTTGGAGAAGCACTATCCTACTGATTGTAAGGCTTGTTGTTCGTTGTTGATATAACACCGACACATGCTGACTCATTGGGGATCTAGCTTGGAACGATGTCGGCACGAACGCCTACGGCTGCGTCAAACAGCTTTACCTTTTGAAGAAGGCCAACCGCCGCATGAAGGTCATGCTTAGTATTGGAGGCTGGACATGGTCGACCAACTTCCCCGCTGCCGCTAGCACGCCCGAAGGCCGAGACCTCTTTGCTCAGTCCTCTGTCAAACTCATGAAAGACTGGGGCTTTGACGGCATCGATATTGACTGGGAGTATCCAGCCGACGCCACCGAAGCAGCTAACATGGTACTCCTGCTTCAAGCAGTCAGAAGCGAGCTGGACTCCTACGCCGCCCAATACACTCCCGGCTATCACTACCTTTTGACTATTGCTTCACCTGCTGGCCCCAGTCACTACAACGTCATGAATCTCAAAGCGATCTCTGATGTCATTGATGCGTTCAACTTGATGGCATACGATTATGCCGGTTCCTGGGATGCCAATAGCGGCCATCAGGCGAACTTGTACCCGAACCCGAGCAACCCCTCGTCGACGCCATTCTCCACTAATGCTGCTGTCAACGATTACCTCGCAGCCGGCGTACCAGCCGCAAAGATCGTACTCGGCATGCCCATCTACGGTCGCTCGTTCGAACAGACCAACGGCATCGGCCAGCCGTTTACCGGTATCGGGAGCGGTTCCTGGGAGAACGGAGTGTGGGACTACAAGGCTCTTCCCCGAGCGGGCGCCACCGAGCTGTACGATGCCACGGCGGTTGCCTCCTACAGCTACGATCCGGCCGCCAAAGAGCTTATCTCTTATGACACCCCAGCCGTAGTGCGGACCAAGGTCTCATACCTGACAGGCAAGGGCCTCGGTGGTTCCATGTTCTGGGAGGCGAGCGGCGACAGAAGTGACAGTGGAAGTCTTCTGGCGACTAGCTTCAATGCTCTCGGTGGCGCGAGCACCCAGGACCAGAGTCTCAATCAGCTGAGCTACCCTAACAGTCAGTACGACAACATCCGCGCGGGTGTACCAGGCGGTTGAAGTTGAGCTTGTGATGGTAGAGGTCATGTGTTCTCCGGTCCATTTTTTTCACATGGTGTTTGGCGTAGCGGGTTGCGAGCAACCTGAATTCTTTGATTGTCGTTTGAATGACGCAGTATTTCTTTTACCGGGCTCGCATATGGATTCTCAGCTTTTATACTTGTCTTCTAATTACTATCAGACGAGAATTCACTACCTTTAACCTATTGATTATATCGGTTGCAGTTCACCTCACTCCATCTACCTTTTCTGCGTGTCTCATGCCGACAATACCATGCTTCAGCTTAGTCCTCCGCAGCTGCTTCCTCTTCCTCTTCCTCTTCAATCTTCTGTCCGTAAACGACGTGGCTTATATTCCGTCAGTAAGGTAGTTAATTCTCTCGGCAAATCCAGCTTACTAGTTAAGGTATGCGTGGAAAGCACCACTCTTCTTTTCTTGGCGAACCTGGGCTAACAGCGCCATCACCTCTTCCCTAGTCCATCCAAGCACCCCAATGAACAGCTTCAAGGTGAATGCATCGAGGCCCTCAAGAGTTTGAGCAAGATTGCACATTCCAAGATCTTTGTTGTGCGCGTCCTTGGCCCATGGGCCCAGAGGAATCTTGAAGTGCTGGTGAACCACATTCTTGAAGGGAGCTTCACGAACCCAACCCTCGAGTTTGGGGCCAGGGGAGTCTTCGCGCCCCAGCATTTTGCAAGCCTCGATGAAAAGACGGTCCCACTTCATGATTGCATGCTTCTCGGTCAGTGTTCCGTCATCGCACGCGTAGAGAACGCTCATGTCTTGGAATTCAGCCCAGCCGTTTGGCGCGAGGTTTCTAGCACACGACCACGTCAGTTCAACTTCGCTATGGAACGGGACGCGATCCACTCTGTGGCTAAGTAGTCCCTGACAATCGGAGGTCTCAAACCCACTCATATACTCTATGGACCAGCTTCGGCCAATCTGCGATTGAAGCAGCCATGTATCGCGTGAAAATAAAGTCGTATTTCTCGTTGACAACCCAAGCGCTTTCGACATCATCAATCTCGAATCTGACGTTCGGCGGCACCCTGGTTCTAAATTAGCTATTAACAGCCTATGTCTGGTGTCCAAAATCCTTACCAAGCTGGTTGTATCGGGCTCAGATCGTTCCCAAAGATCTAACATAGTCTCTAAGTCAGCTTTTTCTGGCCTTGGCGGTTGACGGCTCATGTAAATGTACCTCGGCGTTTGGAAACAAGTCGGCAATCTCGATGGCCCCTAATAGACAACAGCCATGGTTAAAATTGAGAATGCAAGATTGAGCCTTTCTCAATAAGCAACCTACAGATTCCGGTACCGGTTCCTATATCGAGGATGCGGTGCGTCACCTCAGCCTTGATGGGGGCGAGGAAGAACTTGTTGCCGATGGTCTTGACAATCATGGTATGCGTCAAGTCTAGACGATCCATCTCTCTCTGACATGCAATCAATGTTAGAAAGGCCGTATAGTGGTATGATTTGCGGCATTCGTACCTCATCGTTTGGAAAGTTGTATGCTGTTTATGTCGGGATGTTATGTGAGTTGTGCTGGACCGGCTACATTTGATCCTCGATTTCTCACTTACATCCTGCCCGGAAAGCATGATATGTTCGACCATACTCTTCCGGGTAGTCTACAACACTTGATGTCAAAGAGGCTGTGTATGAAGAGCTAGGAGAAATTGAGTCCTTCGTCAGCTAATCACTCTTATTGGACGGCAATTCGGGAGCGGGGTAGGGAATCTGGCATCTTTACATTCGGTCGTCGATAGTTGATGCATCATCGGTGGTCTTTCAATAGTAAGCTCGAACGTCTCGTTGTTCTCGGACACTTTTGCAGGCAACTGACGCTAGAGTTATCATCTACTTCCAAGGGTGCTGCCGCGATTGAAACTCCGCCTTGTGCCGGTGACACAGCGGGGTCTGAGACTGGCTCAGCTGGACTGCTTGCTGTGTGCGATGCCGTTTCAGCCATGTCGGAAGTAATAGTCTGGGCCAGTCTATTAAGTGAGGATGTTGGGGGTTGTCTTTTCGCCTGCTGAATGGGCATACTCAAGCCGCTGAACGGGGGATCGAGCGGCTTTATATTCCTCAAATGATTGTTTGTGCTGTTCAGAATGAACCCCGCAGCTTGGCAGCGCAAACAGTTGTTGGTTGTTCTGTTGAACGCTTGTTGAAGCAACGTAAGTGGCTGATTCTCTTCTATACCAGGATCGAGGTGGGTTTTCGGGTGCTTGCACCAACCGTGGCCCGTACGATAACAATCACTGGCAATGCGGGATCAGAAAATAGGGGCTAATGCTGATTGGGGGGCAGATGTAAGGGTCATCAGCACTGCTTTGCAAGGGCTATCGACTCTGTGGCTTTGGTCACAAATGACGAGATCTTGACTCGAAATGTTACTGGAGAGAAGGATGTAAACTGGTCCACACATCTTGTAGAGAACGAGCCCCTCAAAGTTGAAAAGATCCATTGAGGTCACAGTTCTGTTGCTGAAAGCGCTGAAAACCAGCACGGTTTGCGGAACAAAGTCATTCTCGTTGGCCTTCATGTCTCTGGATCAATGCATCAGTACTTAGTCTGGGATCAGCAGATATTTTGACATGAGCCTTGCTTAGAATTCTAGCTGCGTTCAACGCGACCTTTCCGATCGATGAGTAGGAAGAACCAAGACGTACAGTGTAATCGCTCAATGTGTATATGTGCAGGAAAGCCTGAGCCGGCATGCATTTCCTGGTCTGTAGATTCTTGATTAGCTGGTAGGATTATGGAGGTCGAGTGTCATTGAGCCACCCATGTACCACCAGTTCCCGACCCATCCTTACACATCAACTTTCCAAGACCTTACTTCTCCGTACCGTAAGTTGTGGGGTTCTCGGTCAGTTTCTTTTCATTGGTTGATTATGTACTTGACTTTTCTGGATCGTCAAAGGTTCCATTTGGTACCTACTCAACATATAATATCTCCGAAAAAGTCTTCGGACCAACGGAGGCTTTGACGCTCAGTCTTTTACTTCTTTTTTTCGAGACGTGTTTTGTGACTGTTTTGTACCAGAACCGCTTCTTTTCTTAATTTGATTGCTGGTTCAATTTTTCTGCTGTCCAGTCGTCTAGCTTAGCCCTGCACGATGGCTCCCCAGGATGTTCGTCTGTGTCGTGGGCCACGAGGAGGCCTAGAGTGTTAAGGGTAGCTCTTAGAAAATGTCTGTTCGCTTGACACTGCCTTTTTGGTAAGACGTGGATAGGTATTCTGCCAGCTTTCGATCACATCATCGTCGCTTACGTGAGACTTTGGTGCCGGCTTGTCGGCGCCATACTTCCGTAACGCTCCTATACATTGGGCATTCATGTCGTAACAAAACATCAACAGAGGCAACGGGTGAGTAATTTGGTCTTACGCAAAACAAGATGGCAAATAATAAGAAAGACTCAATTCTGATGGCCACATAAAAAGCTAGACCTCTAGCCAGTTTCAGATGCAGATCAAGAGAGGTTGGAGCACCAGTCTTCTCAGAACTTGTCCTACTTCTCCCCAACTTACCAAACATCTGAAAGATGATCTCGGATAATTGTAAGCCTCATTTCTCCTATGTCCGAGGCGAGGGAAACACCATACCCTTCGGTAAATCTGTGTCCGTTGAGAACTTCAGCCCTGTCAAATTCATCACGCCAACTCACAATCGAAGTTTCAAGTCACAGCTTGAGAAGTGGATATGGTGGTCAAAATAGGTTAGGCACATGGTCCAAGTTGTGTGCGGGAACCATTTCCATTCACGGGCAGTTTTTGCAGAATTGAGAGTCTAGTTTGATTTACTCCATCGTCTTGAAAGCTTAACTTATGGCGATGCTGGGCCCGGGCATGCCAAGACCGCGCATCAATACGACGTGATTTCGTAAGGACGATCTGGAACATGCTTCTCGGGGCTAACAAGTGGCTAGTCTTTTTACTCAGCCTGTCTTCAAGGTCTCATGCGCCGTAAACCCGTTTCTCCCATGTCGATCGCTCCATGCCACTGTTTCCACAACAAAAATCTGCCGACCCCCTTGCAATAGTCATTTATGAGAACGATGAAGTTTGTCGACACATGACTATTTCCAAATCTTCGGCAGAAATTGACATGGGTACCGTAACGTTTGGCATGTAGAACACCAGGTGTAATGTAACCGCGTGGGAAAACAATTTACTGATATCACACGTGCAGTGATACTCCCCGCCTTACCCAAAAATAATCCGTAGTCAGGGAATATTGACAGACTTGAATTAGAAGTTGATTAATCTCCGTGTATGTGGGGCTGCATGTGGCAATGCTGAGCCCAAGACAAGCACTCATAAGGCTTCGGATCACAGCTAAGGCAAGGTGAATGGACATAACATCGATACTTGCGAATACCTCAACACGCTGCCTAAATATGCTTTCCAGACCATATTTCAGGCCAATCAGGTCTAGACTATCGGTGTAGCAGGCTAAAAGTGAGTACTTCGAGCTGCGAGGTTCACCGCTTCCAAACTCAAGTCTTGACGTCAACCCAACTCTTAATAGACATCTGGAGACAGCAGACTATCAAAGTCTCGAGATCATCCGGCCAGACTAGTAAACTAAAATAAAGAATTATCTCGTGTTCTGAAGACTTTGCTATCTCAGAACATGGGTAATTATGATGAGACCAGGTCTGGAGGTTGTCGACAGTCTCGTGACCGGCGTGTTTGGGAAGTTCCGGCTGAGATTATTGACGCGGGACGAGTCAAGTCTACTTGCTACCAATTATTCTGAGTTTTTCGTATGGGGAGGAAACTACATTGCAATTTTCGTGTAATATGACTGCCATTGAAGAACATAAAGAGGCAAGTGTCCGGCGTTCTTTTGCTATCACTTCATCACCACCCTCATCGTCATCATCGCTTCTTCATCATCAACCATCTATCACTTCGACAATATTTCATCATCCTGATCCAAATCGCCAAGATGAAGTTCTCTGCCTCAACCGTTCTCTTCGCCGCTCTCGGCGCCTTCTTCGCCCCTGGCGTCGCCGCGGACCCTCATTACGAGTGCTCCTGCAGCACCTGGAACGGCCGAGGCTGGACCTACGACTGGCAGCTCACCTTCAACGCCTGCAAGAACAATTACGAGGGCGAGGTCTGTATATACTCGGAAACCGAAGTTCCAAGGCGGAGGCAATTATTGACTAACACAATCACAGGCCAATTACAACCACGGTCAGGGCAGGGTAAGTCTTTTCACTCCTGCCACAACACCTGTGACAATAGTCAGGTCTAATGCTAACATTTCGCGACTAAAGTGCAAGTGGTTCTCCCACAAGCGCGTTGATGGCGATGACTGGAACCGTGTCTGCGAGGCGCAGGCTCGTGATGGATACTACCCCGTGGCCAACGATGTCATCGACTCTACCCAGCCTAAGATTACTGGCAAGTCTGGCCACGGCTTCTGCAAGCGATAGAGTTTTTCAAGAGACTTTTGGAACTCTGTAAGCGCCCAAATTGATAGGGGAATGGAGGACTTTGTTCAGACATAGAATATTTGATTGCCTTGAAACCGAATCACCGCTGCTGTTCGTACCTAAGTACCTAAATTATACTGATTCATAATCACCATACCTTACACATAAAACCAATACTCATCATTTGCGCGCGAAGTTTCAAAATTGTCTGGCTAGTCTTGAAAGGAGGATTTGAGGATATTGACAGACAAACATTGTCGTTATTTGATATTGAATCCTGAAAGTTCTTTCAGTCGATCCATGTTAGTATCCCACCGTCGTGCTCAGCAACGGCGGAGCATTCTCAATAATCATGAGTCAACCTTGCAACTAATCATTTGACCAAGGGGAACTTGGCACGCGACTCAAGAGAAAAGTCGGCATTTCATTACGCGTAAATTTAACTTACTTCTTTCGAAGCAGAATCTCGTCAGAAAGGTAAGCTAAATGAAATTACTATCAAGTCTGAATCATTATGGCCCAATACTGATCAAGGCAAGCCTCGCTCGTCCACTGGTGCACTGCGAAAGTCTCCGGTCCAGTCACCTCGGACTTGTTGGCTTGACAGATTGATCGACACGGAGGTTACTAGGCCACAACTTTCAAACTACCAAATTCCGACACCGGGCGGATTGACTTTCCTCTATCGAAAGCTTGTGTTATTGATATTCCTTTTCTCTCGAGTTCATTCGAATGAGAAGCTGTACAGGCTCGTAATTATTACAGCGTCTAGCAGATCCATCAGCTTCCTTGAACTTGCAAGTGCATTACCCTCTCTGATCAAACGGTATAAGTCTCTGGAACTCCCGGCCTTGAAGACTTTGGACACCACGGCCTACCTATATCGCTTCCACTTCGACCTTCATATTCCTTCATTCAGATTACGACCATGAAGTTCCTCGCAGCATTGAGTCTTGCCCAAGTATGTCAATTCGATGTGCTCTGTCTTGAATTCCGTGTCTAACATCTTGATAGTGTCGTCAGATCCAACGACGAAGTCGCTTCCCCACTGGCCCTCGAGAAGCGCATTGACGGCATACCCATTCCTCATGGAGTTGCTTCTCCCAAGTCACTTCTGCTCATGGGCGTCACTGTTTCCTTCCACATGGTCGGTGGATGGGTTCGCCAGGGCAGTCGCAACGTGTGGACCTACACTTGCAAGGGCATCGTCTTGACCAACAACAATGACAGGAAGGCGGTTAGCATCTTTGCCGCTGGCATCAAGTACCTGACCAATTACATCATGTCTGAAGGCAGGGTCTGGACTGTGAATGCTCCGGAGGGAGGGTTTGCGGACACGGTGAGCATCAATATCGGAAAGGCTTAAATTCGCTGCCAATGTTGTGTACCTTACATAGTGTTCAGCAAGCTCAGTTTCATGCGGAGGAATTGACTAATCGGACGTGACTATTCATCTAAAGAGCATCTTGTGGATTGCGAACAACTCATTGCGCGAGTTGCCAGAAGTCTGCTCAGCCAAATGCTGAACCCCGTAGCCTCTCCGAAATGAAACAATTTTCCAGGCCTCTCAGCTTTGGGCATGCACACCTGGCTTGATATACGTGTTCTCAATGCATAGCCTATGAAGGACCCTATATCAGGGCTTCAGGAAGTCAGTGAACTTTGCTACAGGTACTTCAGTCATAAAGAGAGTCCAAAATTCTCGAGCCCCAAGCACTTAGACGAATGCTGATCATATCAATGTCGCTTCTTTCTCTCGCTCCATTGGCTAATCATCAGTCGCAAAGGAGATTATATTAATTCGTCACGGGTCTCTCGGACGGAAACCCTGGTCACGATGAGGCCTTCCTCATCGTGCGGCGTATTGTCTTGCACCAAAAACTGACTCGAACCCGTTACAGAATCCGAACTTCCCTGTCAACTCAGGTTTAAAGTTCAGTCTAACCAGCCTCCTGGGCCCTCAGACTCCAGCTTGGCCACTCGATTCTAGCAGAAGCGAAGGAGTTCCCACTATGAAATGATTCGTGTGCCCACGGCGCTCGTTAACTCCCCGCGTATAATGGAACAACTGCTATGCACATGATACGTCAAGCAGCACTTGGCGCGCCGTTCATCTTAGCTCGCAATGAGCACTGTAGATCTGTGACCGTGATACTGGGTCGTTTCTAAATGATCGGCCTGCTCCGGTTCTATTCCGGGATGAAACTCCACGTGTGTCCTGCACCCGCCCGAGTACTTGCAAGTGTCAGGGAGATTAATAATAAACGCGAATGATGCTGACTGGAAAAAAAGAGCCACACAACGTCGATGTAGATCTTTACAAAAGAGAGACATACTTTCCCTTTTCCCCGGTCAATCAAACCTTCTCAGCCAAAAAACTTTCGTTATCGCTATTTCCTTTTCAGATTCTGCCGTAATTCGGTGCTTTCCATTAAGCTTGATTTTTAACTTCGCACTATTGAATTCAATCACAATGAAGTTCGCACTCGCCGCATCTTTCTTCGCTGCTATTGTTGTCGTGCCGGTCACGGCCGGAGAGTGCGGCACGTTTGGAACCGACTTTGGAGCTTGTTTGAACTGGTGCTCTGATACCAACCCCGGTGCCGAACGATACATTATCGACGGATGTTATCGGGCTGTTTGCTCAAGCTGTAGACCTGCGAAGGAGCGATGTGAGTTGATTCTGGTTTTTTGAAGCCAAGCGTCGAGGAGAAGTTTACTGACAGAGGACCCGCACAGCACTCGAGGCACGAGTCTTCCAGGCGTGAAGATAACAAAAAGCCATCGAGCAATAGCACCAGATCATGTCTTCCCGGCTGGTCATCCCAGCTTGAGAACCTTTCCACGAGTCCGAGTGCGACACAAACCACTTCTCAGTTCGCTTTCGCTCTCCCGCAACTTTTATATCTATCGAGGATTGTTCGCAATCAAAATCGTTGTCTCACGGCTCGAGGTCGTTGTTAGTTTTAGCTCAGATACCCGATAGCAAAATATCACACACTCTTGAGGTTTTCCGCGTTGGACCCAGTGCTGCCATCAATAATACTCAATCTTCGTGATCTAGGGTACGTACATGTAGACTCTTCCAACTGAATCCGCCGTTGCATGGGTATCATGTGTTTCATATCCCCCGATTCTCAACCATAAACTCCTCTTAGTCTCTCCCTCTTCTGCGTCTTATCCCACGTTCAAGACTTTCCCTCAATGGCCAGTGCTTCTTCCCCACCGCCCACAACCTTCTCATATGCTGGAGCTGCCTCGCTAGGCCCATCATAAGCAGGAACCTCTTCAACAGGCGGCGGCGGTGCACTCGATGACGAAGCTACCGCAGATGCCCTCGTCCTCCCACTTGCCGTATCCTCATCTGGTGCCAGAACAAGCAACTTTTGACTTCCCTCGCATTTCCAGCTTTCGCTCGCCACCGACAGCTTCACCTCCCAGTGCAACACGTGCTCAACCTTTAAGCAATACGTCACAAAGGTAGGAACGACCGTCTGCCCAAACGAACCTGCACCGTTTCTTTGACCGAGGAGCAGTCGTCCCAGCGCGTCCACTCGCAGACCCAGGACAGCACCAAGGTCTAGCGGAACTTCCTTGGGACCCGAGGGGACAACAATGGTGCCATCTTGGGCTTGGAAGAGATGCTTCAATCGCGCCAAGCAGAGTTTCCGCGTCTTGTTTGCGTCGTGAGGATCAAGAGTTCCGGGGCAAATGATGCCCGTCGTCGTCTGCAGCTCCAGCTCCAGCTGCTCTATCGTCACCGTCTGCGGTACATCCTCAATAATATCCGACGTCCGATCCCTGGATGGTGTCAGATGAAGCAGAAACGGGATGGTCGCCTCGTTTCCCAGCTGAATCACCGTGGGATACTGCACATCGAGGGTGTAGTGGAAGGTGGGAACTTTGGATGAGCCAAAGAACTTCTGCGTCTTCTGCTTGAACGACAGCTCCGCGTCAGTCATTCCTGGTAGCAACCGCTGACTGCTCACGCACCCAGTCTTGTTCCGCCTCTCCAGCCTAAAGTCGCTGATCATTGGCGATGGCACCGGAGGCGAAAATACTCTGACAGGCATCGCCGCCTTTACGACTGTGCTTTTCCCATGCACCGCCAGCTCGGCCTCAACCCAGTACTCGACGAAACCATGCCAGCTCTTGTTGAACCCAGACCCGTCGAAATGAAATGTCCCCGGCAGCGGTTGCTCGGGTAGCCCTAGGCCAGCATGACCCCCGACGTTGGGGCGCAAAAAGCACGCCTCCTTGGCACTCTCCCCGCCACAGGCATTCACAGCCCTAGCATCCGTATGCGTCGGCAATGCGAGCGCAAAAGGCCATGATACAGGTTGGCTCCCAGCTCCGGGCGCGACGTGGACAGGTCCGCGGTGGACTACATCGCCGACGGCGTTCTCAGGCCAAAAGTTGAAACGGGAACGGTAGTAGCTCTTTTGGTTATTGCCGCGGGATACGACGAGTTTTGCCTTCGCACGACCAAAGAGGCGGACGCGGACTGTGGCGTTGGCGGCGACGATGTGCGATTTGCGAACGATGTGGCCGAGAATGACGCTGCCTCCGTGAAGGGGCGTTTCTGGGTGAAGGAGCTGTATCGAAAGATCGAGATTGTTCTTCCTTTCCGTGGGAGGCATGATTGCTTCAATCCAAACCTTTATTCGCTCAAAAATGAATCAACTGATGGGTCTAGAGAGAAAAGAACCATCGATGGCTTAAAAACCCGAGAAAACCGCTGTGTTTAAGCAGGTCGTGGATTGCGGCACAGTCCGTAAGCACTTGGGAACGAACATCGCGCCAGGCAGCGACGATGTGGTTAGCGCAGTGGCGCAGGTGGCGCTAAGCCTGGACGAAACTGTGGCTGTGTAACATTACTTGATGAGTTGTTGACAGCCCACCGGCTCCCTTCATACCTTATCTCACAAGTCTGTTCATCTCATCTCATAGACGTGTCATCTAATATTCTGGAGATTCTTTATTCTCTCTCTACGTTTCGTGTTATTGTAACCGTGCCATGTGGTTCATGATCCCAACTCCATTGCGCTGCCGTGCACTATCCACCCATTTGATACCCATACGCCCTTCCTACCTCTCTTCTCGGTATCCCACTGGTACAGACGACGCCATCTGCCGTTTGTGATAGAAAATCTGCTTCCAGCTGCCATAAAGTAGTCTGTAGCTCCGGGCTGGTGGAACAAACTGCAACGAGTTTTATTCTAGTCCCCTGGGAAAGATCAGATTCAATCAGAGGAAGACACCTACCATGCCCGATATCAGACAACCTAGATGGTCACCTCGGTCTCACTTTCTCCATCTATTGACGCCAAGTCACATGTACGAGAGTGAGACTCACCATGGAGGTTCCATAGAGTCTCGTCAGCGTGCGACGGTAGATTAGTAGATATTACAGTTGCCATTCGTGGCCGCATACACTATAAGTTCCTCTTGTAACTTACAACTTACTTGTAGACCAACGACGCAAGTAGGATATGAAGAGACAGAGTTGAATATGATTATGTAAATGGTTCTATCAAATGTGCAGCATCATTTGCAAAACGCTACGCTTGACGGCAAGAGTCTCGATAACCACCCCCTGAACTACTCCTCACTGGTCAATCTCACTACAGTCTCGGTAAGTGCTGTTTCAGCTCGCCATAGCGCTTTGTAAAGAACATGAAAATCATGTCAATCGAATACAACATGTGGGATCGATAGTCCTTTGAAGAGAGACTGCGCTTTTGCAATAGCCTTCATCACGTTTACGGTTTACCAAGTCATTACCGCAGCCTAATTCAGATGCCGAGAATGACAATTTGTGTCGGCTAGGTATGTTTTTCAATGTGATTCTGTTTCGTACACACTCGTACTGTGTGATAGAAGGCAGAAAGGGAGGCCAGATAACTTGGCTCGGGTTCGTAATGTTTCGCCGGGAATCTTCTCGTAGACATAAGGCTATGAGCCTGTGCATCTCTGTCATAACAAAAATAGAGACGTTTTGCTATGCTACGTTGGTACTAAGTCGCTCGCCTTCAGGACAAATATTTCAACGTAAACAAAAGTGATAGATGGCCTTTATGGGGAAGCCCATCGACTCAAATCTTATGACTTCAGGTCGCTAAGAAAGCCGACATTGACCTTCATGAAATCATGCAAAACCAGTAATGGAAGGCCTCGAGGGAGAATAACTGATGCCAATCGTGAAGATGTTATACCCTACACTCTACATTATGTATGCCCAAACTACTATGGCAGTAAGGGGCTGAGTTTAAACAACGAGCGATCATTCAAACTCATGGTTGACAACATGACGGAGCTTTCCAGGCGGAATTGTAAGGTTAAAATGTCATATATCCAATATCTATTTGCACTGTAGCTCACTCGAGTAGCTTTCACCGCCTTTAAAAGTCGTGTGAACCACTGCAGGCCTGCTGCCCTATGTGACAAGATGTCATAGTTCATTCTACACGACATTACATCTAGCTCCAGTCCTGTAAGCAACAGAACACCTCTGGCCTAAGCTCTTTTCGTGGCCGTCCAATATTGTGTTACTGTTTTCTTTATTAGATATCGGTTTCGTCTCCCGTAAGAAGCTGAACGGGTACTCACCATAAGTGAACTTGAGCAATGATTCTGGCTGTTGAGCGTATAGGCTGTCAATATTCTTCCGCGATGAAAGGTCCACCTCGAATCCAATCAGATCTGCCAGATGAAGCACTTCCTCGGCGGAGAGCTGAAGGGCGGTGTGGGTACCGTATTTTAGTGCTACGTAGTCACATGTCAGTGCGAATTCGCTGGTTGGATTACAAGAAAGACAGAAAGGTCAAAATCATAGAAGAGTTCTGGAGTAAGAGTGATTACTTACGTCCAAGATTGACCCAAGTGCCACCAGGCTTCAGCAGCCGGTGGATGTTGCTCAGAAAATCAATGATGTTGCTGCCAATGTCAATGAAGAACAATGAGGCAACGGCGTCGAATTGGCCGTCCTCTGGGAACATCTCCAAGAAGTCGCCCTCAACGAACTTGACAGCCTTGTTCGGCATGTGATCCGGCACCGTCAGGGCTGTGTAGCGCGAGGTGGGGTTGGACTGATGGGTCCATTTGGTCACAAAGGGATGAATAGTATGTTGATGCAGTGAGGTTGTATGGTTTGTAAGAAGGTGGTGAGCCAGTATTGAGCTGAAGTCCAGATCATTGGCCGTAACATCATAACCTGCATCCATGTGTCAAAACTTGAATTCACGCCCACAAGTCAACTGCGGAAAGGATACGCACCCAGATCAGCAATGTCGCTTGCTAGCCTGCCCATACCGCATCCAGGTACAAGAACCTTCTTGCCCTTGGCATTCTTGCCAAAGTGTTTCTCCAGGCCAGCAATGACGGGCGGGAAAGTAGCTTCCCTCTCCTTGGCGCCAAACGTGCTCCAGTCTCGCGAAAGATGTCCAAAGGTCAGGTCCACAAGACCAAACTCGGCATCATCTTCGTCTGTCAACGGTCCTGGACCGGTTTGGTAATGCTTTCTTGAAATCTGCGCAATCTGCTTCGAGAGACGAGCGTTTACATTAATCCCTTCCGTAGCCTTCTCAAAGTGCGCAGGATACCCTAGCTTGTCGCTCATCAGCTTCTGGGAGGGCGTCTGGCGGTCGTACCGCGCATACTTCCGCTGCAACACTCCCTGGGCGAGAGACGCATACTGCTCGAAGGAGTTGATGGCGTGTGCCAAATCCTCGGGAAGCTTCTTTCCTCCTTCAGTTGCGCGTACAACCTTGGCAGGCCTCGTGGAAGTCCCGACGGGTGCTTTGGAAATGGATGGTTGAGGGGTGTCTAGAGGGGCGTTGAGCGCAACGTGAAGGGCTTCAGCGCGTAAGGAGAGCTTAGAAAAGAAAATGGCGACATCAGACAATGAGCCAGACCCGCGAAGGGCGAGGTAGAAGGGAAAGATGATGCAAAGGAAGAGAGCAAGGGAGCGGGAAGGGAAAATTGACGAGTACATCATTGTGATTGCGGCTAGGTATGAATTTGCGCCAGAAGATGTTGTTCTTGTTGCCAAATGCAGCTCTGATAAAAGCAGAATGAGCTTGAGAAGTGGATGAACGGCGTGATAAGTGGGAAAGTCCTTTCCCTTGAACCTCCTCGGCAGCTGCGATTCTCCCTCAGGGCCAGATACTTTGCATCCAGTCTCGAATATCAGAAGTAGCCGCAGGTATCAGAGCGCAACGGCTGCGCCCGCCGTCCGGCCCCAAGCGATGGGGTCTATCGTCTGAGCATTGTCTGAATCGAAAAGTGTGGATTACCACGATTCACGGTCCCTCGGATGGTAACTGGGATCATCTCTGTTCAGGTTTAGAGTTCTGCAAGGGGGGCTTGTGTCCCACTCTGTAGTGACTTGAAGTAAACCTTCGGCTAGTGAGACAAGAAGCATCCCTCCCTCCAGTACAATCAGCCTTACCGCGAGCTGCTGGCGAGTCAAAGACCATGGAAAGTTGCCAGGTATGGAAACTATCTCGGATGACAGGCCACGTCAGACTCTCTGCCGAGCCGAATTTCTGGCATCGTAGCCAACACAACTTGTATTGGAACGAAGAGACGTTTACGATTGAAATAATGACGCTCCGTGATGATACTAGTGAATTCAACGTGATAATAGTTGAACTCGTGGACTATTTTGTCCTGCCACAGCGTAAGCATTTGTACTACCAATTGAGGTAAAACTTGGTGTCGGCCAGCGGAATGGCAATATAAGTCTATAGGATACTCTCTCATTGGCCGAAACAGCGCTTAAGTGGAACATAATCCAAACGACACAGTCAAACTGCTTATTTAACCCTGTAACTGCCATCCATTCTGTGTGACTGCGTCTATCGTGCCGTTTCTCTAAGAATCTAAACCCACATTCTTGTTAGAGCCATGGGCCGAACAATTCTGTTTCTCTTTGCACTTGCCATTTTCTCAGTTCTCCTCAGCCACGGACAGGCAACAAAGTGCGGCAAGCTCTTCGAACGCAAAGAATGGCGAACATTGACCCAGGACGAAAAATCTGGCTGGGTGGGAGCTGTGAAATGCCTCGGAAGCATACGGCACCAACGATTGTCATTCACGCCGGAACAAATACTTCTCGAGGGAATGAGAAGTCTATACGATGACTTCTCGTACTCACACGCAGCAGTAGAGCACAGCGCACATAGGAATGTCTACTTTTTGCCGTGGCGTATGTTCCTTCCCCTCTCAACCTTTGTTCAACACTTCTATATTGACACCTGCGCAGACCGCTGGTTCCTCTATCTGTTCGACGCGTCTCTCCGCCAAAACTGCGGGTACGGCGGTCCAACGCCATACTGGGACTGGTCGCGCGATCACGCGGACCTGGTCGGCTCTTCCGTGTTTGAAGATTCACCCGAGTTTGGACTAGGCGGGACTGGAGACTGTAGTTCTTCCCCCGAGGCTGATTGCAAGGTCACTACAGGCGCTTTTGCCCAGTTGGAGCTTGCCTGGCCGATCCCTCACCCACTGCGTAGGAACTTGACGCTCATCACTGGGTGGTTCGATCATGAGAAGCCCCAGAACTCCACACTGGGCCCAGACTCTGTGCGGAACTCGACTGAACATCACACGGGCGACTTTTACAGTTTCCAGCACTCAATGGAGCAGATGCATAATCATGTCCATAACTTCGTTGGCGGTGACTTGGCGGGGGACTGCCCAAAGAAACTACCAGCGGAAGGTTGCAAGGACCTAGCCGTCGCCTTCACGCCTAACGACCCTCTATTTTGGTTGCATCATGCGCAGCTTGACCGTTTATGGAGCAAGGTGTGCACCCCTTCCAAACCTTGCTTGATTCAACTGTCATATCAAATATACTAACGTGGGTTGATGACTTTCACAGTGGCAACGCCGACACCCCGCCAATTTTGCCGCTTTTTCCGGCATACCCTTTCACTCGTTCAATATGAGCGACCCGCAATATGATGTTAAAGCTAGCGCAGATTACAAAATGCCATTTGATGTACAGAGTGTGCCCGTGACGCCAAGGCAGGTTTTTGACACGGAGGCTGGGCCACTATGCTATCAGTATGTAGATGATGAGTGACAGTCTTCGGGCTAGAATGATAAACAACGCATCTTGGCATCCTGGGGATCTTAGTCCGCATCAGTGACACCCTGGTCCCATTTCCTTGCCTCCCCGTCAGAGTTCAGCTCTGCTTAAGTCTGTGCGCGCCCATTTACACGAAGCGATCACTCGAAGCGCATGCAGGGAATAAAACAGAAGATGCAGACCAGACGAGTCACTGAAGCGAAGATGTAAAAGGTTGAGAATTTCTATTGCTATGATTGGATTTCTCATTTCAAACAAAATATCTATAGGCTAGACTCATTGATCCTCTCAAACATCTCAGGCGTCCATTTCGAATGTTGCTCCGCCATCCAATCGTGCACCTGTCTCCAGTCCCGGCAAGTGTGTTTAGCTCCATCGCCTGCAGCAACTTTGTCACCATTGGGCAATTTCTTGTTTGTGCCACCAGGTTCGATCGTCGTGTCAGCAGCGCAGAGAATGCCCTGCCGCAAGTAGTGGAAGCAATGCTCCGTGTGGTCAGACCCGTCGTCTCCGTTAACGAGCACGGCACGAATGTGGCTCAAGCAGTGCATCTGATGCCACATCGACACGCCAAACGCAAAGTGCTCTTGGCCTAGAAAGACGAAACCCTTTCCAGGGGGACGGATTGCGTTCCATTCAACCGTAGAAGCAAAGCCTTCCATCCCGTAGTGCTCAGGATCATCTACGAATTCGGCCTGAATGGTGCGGACCTTGATAGGAAGCTCATGTGGTCGGTCACCTTCGAGGTAGGCTATAATGTGTTAGTCACAAAGATAAGAAAGAAACTAACAAAAAACGAGAATTCGACGTACTGTATGACTGTGAACCACGGGTCAAGACGCGGAAGGAGAAGAAGAGAGCGCCCAGGTTCAAGACGAGGCATACGCAGAGGGCTGCGAAAAGGCCGAGTGAGGGGCCTCGTAATTGAGACTTCAAAGACTTCAAAGACATGATGGCGTGCTGGCAGGGTAGTGCGTTGAGGTTGTCAAAGAAAGAACACAATCGTTTGGATCAGCAGCGCCGAGAGTGGGCGAGCAGTGTTTAACAGATCTGTGGCCGTATCCGCCCTCGCCCTCGCCCTCGCCCTCGCTTGAGTAGATGAGTCGCGATGATAACATGGGGCGGTGCAAGAGGATTCGCAACTTCGCAAGTGTCAAAAAGATCTACTGATGAGAGTCAGTTGTCCAAGGGTTGCATCGACCATGTGGAGAGCCCCAAGTATGCTGACAGGGACCGCATCACAACCTCTGGTCCCACAAAAGCTGCTCGACATACGACGACGGTAAGTTTCATCGTCTAGATGAACGTCTAGATGAACTTCGGAATGTCCGTTGCTATGTTGACGACGAAAAGCACCGCAGGACTGTTTGAGGTTCCACAAGATCTGCTCGCTGGACTTGCGATGAAAGAAAGTTTTTGCATCTAGATGAACCTCGGGAATCCGGATCCCAGTAGCGGAAGGAAGGGACCGCAGGTATGGAACAGGTTGCGTGCTCCACACGAAATGATGTGACTGCTCGATATGCGACGAAACTAAAGTTTCGATAGCCAGATGAATCATGGGCGCCCGTAGGTCAATTTATTCGGTTGCCATAGGCCTTGGGGCTTGGCCGATTGAGCTGACGGAGGCTTGGATGAGGCTTGCCCGGCGGAACGGACATCAGGACATCATGACTCCTTCCGACGGCGTATCATGCCGGCGTGCCATCTACACGCCCCCGGCTCTGCTGTTGAAGATCTCCACCAGCCTCGTATACCGAACTCGATAGCTAGTCACGATCTTTGTCTGGAACCTCACCGTGGAATCCACCTGGGAAACTTTACGAGGCGTGTTAGAGACTCGGCACGAATGTCTGAAGACCCACGACTTGAGAATTATTGCGAAGGCAACGCCGGCGCAATAACGCACATGCACGCTTCTGATCGTGGGGATTCGTAGTCGTACGGAGAGATTGTCGAACGGATATCCCTCCCATGAGCTTCATCACTTGACGCTCGAAATCCATAAATACCCAAGAGAATATCGACCATGGAAAGAAAAAACATCCACAACAACATCTTACTCCACAACAATCATCTTACCATCATTTCAACATCTTTTCAACTCACTTTTTCTTGTAAACCACCAAGTTTTCAATCAATCATTCAAAATGCAGATCACCAGTGTTATGCTCAGCCTTGCCAGTCTCGGCCTGAACGTTCTTCCTGTTCAGGCCGGGCCTATTCCTGGCGCTGAAGCTGCTCTGGCGGCGCGCCACGTCTATTCTCCCGATGTTGACGAAGCTCCTGTTGAGAAGCGCCATGTCTACTCTCCTGATGTAGATGAGGCCCCTGTCGCTAAGCGCCACGTCTACAGTGTCGACAAGGACGAGACCGTCGAGAAGCGCCACGTCTACTCGCCTGATGTAGATGAGGCCCCTGTCGCTAAGCGCCACGTCTACAGTGTCGACAAGGACGAGACCGTCGAGAAGCGCCACGTCTACTCGCCTGATGTAGACGAAGCCCCCGTTGCCAAGCGTCATGTCTACTCCGTCGATAAGGATGAGGTTGAGAAGCGCCACGTCTACTCTCCTGATGTTGACGAGACTCTAAACAAGCGTCATGTGTACTCTGTTGACAAGGATGAGGTTGAGAAGCGCCACGTCTACTCCCCCGATGTTGACGAGACCCCCGTTGCTAAGCGCCACGTCTACTCCGTCGACAAGGACGAGGTCGAGAAGCGTCACGTCTACTCTCCTGATGTCGATGAGGCCCCCGTTGCTAAGCGCCACGTCTACTCTGTTGACAAGGACGAGGTCGAGAAGCGTCACGTTTACTCTCCTGATGTCGATGAGGCCCCCGTTGCTAAGCGCCACGTCTACTCTGTTGACAAGGACGAGGTCGAGAAGCGTCACGTTTACTCTCCTGATGTCGATGAGACCCCCGTTGCTAAGCGTCACGTCTACTCCGTTGATAAGGACGAGGTCGAGAAGCGTCACGTCTACTCCGTCGACAAGGATGAGACTTCCGCCTAAGTTCAAAAGCGGTAGGAGCGAGTCAGGAAAATTCACTGCAGGAGCGGGTTTGCGGCAAAATCGTTTTGGGCGGTATGAATTCTATGGCTTGCTAGCGAGAAGGGGAGATGTAGTGGGGTGTCTCAGCACTTTTGCGAACTTCCAGTGATCAAATGCGTAGCTAGGTTTGTTTAGTTAAAGGTGTCCTTCTTAGAATCACAATAGAATTTCCTTTTCAACATCAGTGTTCTGTTTGGCAAGCGTCCCTAAATTAAGCGTATCCCCATATGAGCTCTGCAAGCCATGCAATAAACTTCGTTGCTTACCTATCATTTTAAGTCTACCCTCTTAGCGCTGGTCACACAAGCAAGTATACCAAAACTCAGAAAGAGTAAATCAAGGTGTCTGAGCGCATGGGGGTGAGTAATCGTTTCCGCACGCACGTTTGTTTTGTCCGTCAGTCGGGTCTCCGCCAGATAGCCTTACCCCTGCCCCTTGAAGACTTGATAGTCGTACAGTATTTTAAGGTTTACTATCTTCGTCTGTGGAGAGCTTGCATAGCGCGCGCCATGGAGTCTTCGCGACCAAGGCTCGATCGGTCGCTCTCCTACCGACGCTATTTACGAGTACGAGGAAACTGCTTGCTTTATCGGTGCCCTTGCTCTGATGCTGCTTTGATAGCCTTGCCAAGACATTGAACGCTGTGGTCATCTTGGGAGAACTATGTTTCTCATGGCGCATCTCGAATGTGGCCTCTTTTGTCTTTTCTTTCTTTTCTTCTTAATTCCTCATGGTAGGTAAATCTGTTCGGTTTATGCAAAAGAATCAGACGGTGAACTTTACTTCACACTATACGTTGGAGTTGTAAACAAGGATTAAATGGCAGATTTCTAATAGAGAATTGGTGCAAAAACATCCAGCTTGACACCGAGTCATGTTCCTTCCGATGTTGTGGCGTGCCTGAGCATTGATATGATGTATTCTGAGCTAAGATAGGGATGTGAAATTGCAATTTTGACTAAAGAATTTTGAGGAGTGAATGCTTCTCAAGCTCTATCTACAGGTATTCATCCGGCATCGGGATGAGCGTCTCGTTCCCAGCCGCACACATGGCCGGGTGCTCTTCGGGGAGAGCCTCTGTATCGGCCATTTTCACATCAGTGCACTATCAATTCATGTTACATCAGTCAATCTCACTTTATTAAGCTCTCAGCTGGGGTAACTCACAAAGTATTGCACCTTGCCCGTCGCCGGGTCCTTGGCCTCAAAGTACATGACCCCCATCTCGTTAAGCTTGGTCTCGAAAGGTATCGTAACATTGACGCACACCTGACCAGAGGGCTGGATGGGTAAGTCTTGCAGAATGATATGAGGGAAGTCGTCCCTCTTCTTCGGCACTCTGTTCCGAGTGTATAGAGCTGTGACAAGGTCTCCAGGATGGCCTGAGAAAGAAAGGAACGTGCGGGAGCTGCGGGCGTAGGCTTGGGGGTTGTGCACGATCTCCCCTTTGGCTGTGTGTTAGATCATGCCAATACTGGGGAGTCTGATGAATTGGAGACTGGAAGGAGAAACTTACGGCAAAACGGGTGGAACTCATCTAATTCTGGCCGAGACGGGAGGTTGGCACCACGAGACGACCATGGGTACTGGACGTGGAAACCCGCATGGGCAGGGGCGGCGGCGGATGCGAGGTTACTACCGGTGCCGAGAGCAAGCAGAAAAGTAAGGACGGTAGGAACGTTAGGCATGGTGGATGAGATTTCAAGTGCTGGATCGGCATAGGTTCCACGTTGTACGCGGCCATCTGCGGCAGAGAGAGACAGCAAGATGATATAGCTCGTGCCAAGACACCTGACAGTCTACCTCTCAACTGACTTGAGACTGTCGAAAGTCACCGACACGGTCACCCCGGAATGTCAGATAAATTACTCTCGCCGTACTGATCGAGTCAAGTTCTGGTGAAGGTTTGAAACTACAGACGCGTTGCAGTCCCACTACATCATCATCTTTACGTGCTCCTCAATGGCTAGACTGCGCCACACGGTAGTTCCGCGTGTTGAAGCTTTATTCGAACTCATCACCTGTCTCTGTCTGGCTCTCTCTGGCCTACTGTGAATCACTCCTGATCTTCTTCTTCATCCACAACTTCCAGTTCTCTCGTCCTTTTCCTCATCGTTCGTCGTCTTACTATCATTTGCCCCCTAGAACGACCTCCCACGATGTTTTCTAAATCAAAGTCGGACACTTCTCAGTACACGCCGCTCTCCCGAACAGGCGGTGGCGAGGGTTCTAGCTCTAGCACATCTCTTGAGAAGCGCTCATCTTCCGAGGATGATGACGACCACCCCCTGTTGGAAGCCTCTGAGAATCTTCCAGGTCTCCAGGCAGCCAAACACTGGCAGCTTCCCAAGCTCATCCTCTACTTTTCCTTGGCTTTAGCCTTGCTATCATGCGCCAACATCGCTCTGCTTCCTGCGACGCTGTCGAACTACGCAGCTTACCCTTATACAGACTCTGAACTCAATGCCCTTCCCTACGGTGACGCCAGACTAGGACTTGACAGAGCAGCCAAGATTCTTCGCCCTCCCAGAGAGTATCTTCGTGCCTGGCCGGACAGAGTGGTGCGAGTGAGCCGCAAGTTGAAGAATTCAGTGTGGGGAAATGGGCCGCAGGTCTATGTGACTGTCGAGGTACGCGCAATTTCCTACCATCTCATTTTCACTATCTGCGGTTCAAACAAGTAATCTGATGTGAAAAAAAAGGACTCAACTATCATGCGCTTCCCGGTTCCTACCGCTGGTATCAACGCTTGCGCAATCAACTGGCTCGCGCCTCCGGAAAATTCCACGCGCATCAAGGACCTGACTACCAAGGGAGACGTTTCCGAAATTGAAGTCTGGCAGCTTATTGCGCCCTCAGCCACTTCGAAGCCAGGCTCTTCCACAAACATGGACGAGCTCGACTACGACACCGTGTCGTACTCGGCTCTCCCTGTGCGCGGCGAGCTGCTCGGCGTGCTGGATCTCACCGTGAAACCGAATAGCACGACGGTGGAGTTTGCCTGCCCTAGCGGGGCAGAAAATCTCGTGGTAGAGTTGAAGTGCCAGCGCGTGGCGTGTCATGTCAGCTTCATGCATCTGGACACCATGCTGCCGCGATTTGGGTTTGAGTTGGTGAGGAAGAGGGAGTGAGGTGGAGGAGGGACTGACTAACGGGCTGGGGGCAGAATATGCACAGACATTTGACAATAGGATTGGCCGTGGCTGGTGGTGGGCAGCATGTTTTGTTCCTGAATCCTTGGAGGGGTAAACCTAACACAAACACTAAAGGCCAGGTCTCACCCTACATACTTAGTACAAGAGTCCACTACCCCCAACGATGGCTTCTAGAATTAAGAATCCACCAAATATTTCATTACTTTACCCTCCTTGGCCGATCACAGGACACTGATCCTTGTTGTAATTCTCGATCACCCATCTAGAACTCACTCAACTTACACGCTGAACAACATGTCCACTCAACTTGACGCTGCTTCCATTGCTCGTGTTTCCTTGCACGACCCCAAGCACTTCGATGTCCAACTCATCCAGACCGCTCACCGCCTGGCTCTCCTACAGCATTGGGATATTCCAGCAAGCTCCAAAATCTTGGAACTAGGATGCGGTCAGGGAGATTGCACAACCGCTCTCGCCACTGTCGTGGGTGAGCAAGGCACCGTGGTGGCTGTTGACCCGGCGTCGCTGGACTATGGTGAGTTCTTGCTGCCTTGTGTAACTTTTCTTAGTAGCCTCGGCAGGTAGGCCATCTAATCACTCGCGTAGGTGCCCCGTACACTCTCAAGCAAGCACAGGATCACATCTCACAAGGTCCGCTTGGCAATCGTATCAACTGGGTTCAACAAAGCCCTCAGGACTATCTCTCTTCCCTCACTTCATCCAGCGACGCCAAAGTCTTTGACGCAACAGTCCTTGCTCATTGCCTATGGTACTTTTCCTCCCCCTCTCTCATTCTAGAAACCTTCCGTGCCATCAAACAGCACAGCAAGCGTCTTCTCCTTTCCGAATGGTCCCTGGAAGCAACGAATGCTGCTGCCCGGCCTCACGTTCTGGCCGCCCTCACCCAAGCAGCGCTAGAGTGCCGCAAAGGCGAAGAGAGCATCTCCAACGTCCGTACGGTTCTCGGCCCAAAGCGCCTCACAGAACTCGCTGTCGCGGCCGGCTGGAAACTGGAGAAGGAGAGCCGCGTGCAGTGCGGCGAAGGTCTCCAGGACGGACAGTGGGAGGTTTCTGCCTGTCTTGGGTCCAGTTTTGCGCGTGAGGTAGAGGAGCGTATCAAGGATGAGCGGGAGCGCGCCGTGGTCTTTGCGTTACGTGATGCTTGCGAGGCGAGTTTGGACGGTGTGCCGGGGGGTAAGAAGGGAGTTGCTGCCATGGATGTTTGGGTCGCGAGCTTCGTCTGAGCTTTCTCCCTCTCTTTTCGTCTGATCATGTGAACCTTAGAATAGTACCCGAAAAGAATAGAGGAGTCCGTGTTACATGTAGTTTAGGGTTGCTCGAGTCAATCACCCGAAAGGCTGCGGTAAATAAAGGGAAGCTAAATCTACAGTAATACGTCCAGCGCTTCCTCAAACACATGCTTCATGCGCTCCTATGTAAAAAGCGAGACCGAGCTACGGCTAGAAAATGGATTATACCAAGTCTAACGTCCACTTCTTAGCGATCTAGGCCCGAGGAGTTCTCATCGCTATCTACAGACTATACTGGATCCATTCATTGCACATGGGTAGTGTAGTATGTCGCAATAGTGAGTACATCTGACGGAAGTTAGTGTGGGGGTCGTTCATTTTACTTTGGTCCCTGTGTACTTTGCATATCGCAATGCTGAGAAGTGATCATGATACATGCCGTGGCGGTTTCCAGTCGAATCACCGCTTGTAGTTACTTGAGCTGAGCGTGCCACGCTTCGTCAATGGCCCATGGAGACGCGCGCCATGCTTCAAGTGGGTTTTGAGTTCCGTACTGGGCCAATTATCGATAGTCTTTACAAGTTCTCGAGGTAGCAATGACCTGACTCGCGGGTAGTTTAGAGAATAGCCCGAAGTAAGTACGCAATCCAGGCGGCCGGTCAAATCTCACATGTAGTTTGGGCTGATCTCAGCGAGCCAGACAACTGGTATTGGCCTAGCTTTACCTCTTCATGACGTTGTCGTCTCGTCTGAAAGAGATAAGAACCAATTTTGTTAACGGCATCCTTGCAAGACTCCTTGTTCTAAAATTGAACTGGGATTTACGAATTAGAGAGAGCAGCAGATCAGCCTCCAGAAAGGACCCAGCCCCATGGGTGCTAGTCATTTGGTGCGGATGAAATGAAATCACCCCCAGCAAGGATCCCGCCATTTCAGGCCACAAGACTTCCTCGGGAGTCGACGGACTATTCTACGTTCTAACTCCCCGGGCAACAAGAAACCCTGAAGCGAGATGCGGGACGCTGGCCCCCGCCGCCCCGCGTTCTTATCAGGCCAAACCGAGGCTGGCCAGGAAGTCCCAATTGACCGTGGTGGATCTGTGGAACACTTGAGGTCTACGGATTCACGGAGTATTGGTACAAGGCCGGGACCCTGTCTCGGCCGAGATTGGACTGGTGAGGCTGGGGAGCCTTTCCGAGAGGTCTTTGCAGGGTCCTCTTTAGCCGCGCCCACATGTGCTCTATCCGCGCATGGAGCCTTGTGTCAGTAAGTACTAGTTAGAAGGAATGTAGTTGGTTCAAAGCCGGAACCCGGTCGTGTCTGCCCCACACTCCGGCGTAGGGTTTCGCATCCGGGCCAACGTTTGCCATGGACCCCGCCGCCAGACAACGGTGTGACCGTGCGGCCGCCATGAATCAGTTCTCAATCACATAACCGAGATATCTAGCCATATTTGATATTCTGAAGGACGAATGAGGGAAGTGATCTACAGATATCAGCTGGGGTGGTTTCTGCTAATGGCAATCGACGGGAACAAGGTTTGATGTCAGCCTTTATCTTGAGCAAGGACATCCATTGCCAGACAAATGCTGTTACGCTATTCTACACAGATTAGGGGGGTGCGGCAAGCCGTAAATCGAAAGTCAATCGATTGGTGGAGCCGATCTTTACGGCTGTCAGTGCTTCTCACTTGCTAGGATCGCCGTATCTCAAGTTGCTAGGGTCACATCCTGTTGCGGGTTAACGTCGATTTAAGCTTTCGCTCACGCCTCATTGTTTGGCAAGCTTGGCAAGGAGGCCACAGCGCTCCACAAACGCCGTCGCACCGAGTGCGGCCGTCATGAATCAGGGACTCAGACGGCCCGCACAGCCGTTGTCCGCGGCTGTCAACGGATCTCAGCTTTGCTGGGGCTTCTATTGCGGGAAAAGGGTGCTTGTTGAGGCAATGCTTACCGCTCGGCTGACGCTCCGGCGAGGATAAAGCTACTGCTTGTAGTACACAACGATCCCCTGGCTTTAATGTGACTATGGGCTAGAGCCACGCCGCACGGTTTCTACCCATGCTTTGACGATAACCTCCCCTTCCTCGGCTCTGTCCAAGGTTGTTGATGATTCAAAGGGTCGCTTGGTATTTTGAGCATGACCTACCGAGTCTGGTCAATCATTGTCTCAATTCCAATTATAGAGAGAAGTTCTTGGCTAGACCATAAGGTTCACAATGCAAGACAACTTTGCTATTGAGATTCGTATACGCGGCAAGATTACTCACGGCTAGTTATTCATGCACACTTGGGAGGGGGGGGGGGGGGTGGTCTGGACTCCAGAGATACCACTGCATTTGCGGCGAGCTCACCGGCCTGGGGAGCGAAAGGCCTGGTGCTCTGGCTTTGAACTGTCCAATAGATGCCTCCGAGCGAAAACGATTGACAATGCCGATAGCTTCCCCACCAACTTGATGCAGACAGCCTCTCGTCCTAAAGCATTCCCATGATACTCTGCCACGATTGGTCGTTACTGCTACTCCCTGCATGGGAGTTGTCCCCTCCGTGACTACCATCACCACTGCCACCTCCATTGCTGTTACTGCCGTCACCGCTACCTCCATTACCTCCGGAGATATCAAGCCCTGCGGAGCCTGTGTCTACAGGAAATCCGCTCCCACCGTCACTGAAACCCCACCCTCCATCTATCATAGACTGTTCAAAACCCGATAGACCCGTAGCATCGCATAAACAGTCGCAGTCACCTGTATCTTCATTCGCTTCAAAGTCGACTTCTGCGTAGGATCCGTCACATTGTTCCGGAACCAAGTCTTCAGGTAGCCAGTCCCCGGTTCCCATGCTAGAGGTGGCGTTCATATCGATGCCGGGGCCTCGATATGGACCATGAGGATGCGGCGTTTTAGATTCCGCCCTTCGCTTTGCGTCCTCGATGATCTCGTCTACGTGCTCTGATCGAAAGTCACGTAGCGCCGTGTAAGCCGCCACTTGCCCATCGTGATTCAGGTCAGCCCAGTCAGCCAGAGTGCAGTCGTGGTACATGTCATGCTCGTAGAGGTAACTCATGGGCTGGGCCCGGTGGATGCCTGCAAGCTTTATGCGATCGTGGATGATGAGAGGGCCATGCGGCTGGACGACAAGCCTGCCTGCTCTCTTTCTAATTTGCTGTCGTAAAGTAGTCACGCGACCCTTCTGGAATATGGTTCGGTCTGTAAAGGTGTTTTCGAAAGGCAGCCCGCGAGCTTTGAAATTCCATCGACACCTGTCACGGAAAACCTGTGATCGATGCATCGCAACTGCCATGCTGCCAAGGACCTGAAACGCTTCAAGTACTTGGTGTCTGTTTTCCTCCCAGTCATGGTCGGCCATCTGAATTTGATTGTCTTTCCCAGTGACTGGAGATGGAGCATAGAAGCGACGGTCCCTGAGAAGGTGAAGCTGCGCTACTGACCATGCATCAAACGGAAAGGCCCAAAGATGCTTAGCCAAAGAACAATCCCCACACTTCTTTTGCGGGTGATCGGCCTCCTCCTTGAGAGTGCGCGCTTCGGTACAGTCCCATGGAAAGAGGCCTTGGTGTCGAAATATCGGCGCTCGAAAGCCTCCTCAATCGGTCCAGTATTCTACCAAGCTGTCAACGATGTCCGTGTCGCTGTGGTGGGCGAATCGGCAGAATCGAAGGAGAAACTCCTCAGTGTGACCGTTCGCGGATGTCGCTTTTGAAGAGGGAACTACCCGCCTAGTGAATTCATCGTGACAACCGATCCGGCTTACAAAGCTCATTAAGTATTGAACTTGAGATGCCTGACCGTCATGTTTCTTCTCCTTGCAGTGTCGGTGATAGACCATGAAGCTGCCGAATACGTTGCGGTCTATCAGGGCATCACAGAAATTTTGGCAGTTGTTGCTTTTTATGTTCCACTCTGAGATGAAGGTCAATCTTTTGTTCAACTTCAGACTGTATTCGTTTTGGATAATCAACATGCATAGGTGCGTGAAAAGTAGATTTTGGGGACAAGGGGAGAAAGAAAGTAGAACCAACCAAGGGGCAAACTTTCGTCGAAAAGTTTGTTGACGATGGAATGAATGTAGAGCTCGACACGCTCATGTAGAAGTGTACGGAGCTTCTCGAGAATTTTCTTTCTTGCCTTGGACTTTTTCCGTTCGTGCTTCGATCCTTTCCCTACATGTAGGACGCCTATATAATCTAGACTGGCCTTGGCCACATCTTTGATAATTTCGGCCTCGGCATCACGATCCTCTTCTCTCAGACTCCAGAATGGACTGCCTGCTATCTGTTTCATAAAGGCCTTCACTCGGCGGTTTCTCGGTATATGCCTCTCTGCCTTGAACAACTGTGTATCTTTGCTGAGAGCGAAGCACCTGGTCACTGAGCTTGTAGGAGTATCTACGGGATGCAACTGAACACGATCTCGAACCGTGAACAGCACGCCACCCATGGATCTGGAAGAATAAATGTAAGAAATAATTCTCAATCCACACAAAAAAGGGGCCAGAGAAAAAAGGGTACAAACTGAGGAACTCCATTTTCGATTAGCAGCGGGCCCATCATCAGACTCATATGGGTGTTCCCGTACGGGAGATCCTCGTGAATCCTTTTATTCTTGGCTGCAGTCTTGGTGACAGCCGTGATTAGATGACTGCGAACGTCACCCTTTTTGCTGTCCTCTAACATGCCAAGACGGCAGACTTCAGCCAGCTTTGAGGAACAATGTTGTGAATTGGGTCTGATCAAAGGACACAGCGGGTAATGGTGGGCGCGGTCATTCTGGTCAAAAGGATACAGTTCTTTTGATTGGTCAGACTCGGCATCGCCACCGGCACATTGACAAAACTCCCTCGCCTGTTCGTCGGATAGACAGGATGACAAGACACAGCTCTTGTGGAACTTGCGTACTTGCTCGGAGTCGTGCTTGCAATCGGGGTGTCGAGCGCAAGTCTCACAAAAGACCGGAGCTTGCTCTCGATATGATGACTTGTCACACGGACAATCAGCACCACACCAAAAATGATATCCTGGATGGCTTGCTTGCACTCAGTGCATTGGAGGGCGGAGAAGTTAATTGGGTTCTGGCTGTGTTCATCAGATCTGGGTACCACTATGGAGAATTGAAATAGAGCTTAGTCAATAATGATTCTTCCCTATGATAGTGCCAAGATTAAGGCAGTGCTTACATTGTGGTGCTCGTGGCCGAAGCCATGTGCCCAGCTTGTATTCAAGTTCTCGATATTCGACCACTTTGAGCCTTGATCAGATTATTTCGTCTTCGGAAGATGGACACAACAGATCCAAGGTCAGCGTAGAGAGTACTCACTCTTGTCAATGTCGAGCATTCCTGCGTTCGAACACTCAGTATTAGCCAGATACGGCTCCAGTGTTCTTATTGATCCCTTGAGTGGAGTACGTGCCTGCTGCTCGTAGAAGCATCTGAGCCAAATATTGTCTTCTCGTAAGATTCTCGGAGTTGCCATAATTGAGATTGGCTAAAACATCGTACACTCCAGAGAAAATCAGCGTATTACGATGTTAGCGAACAATCTGACAACTAGCGCTACGGCCATGGTGATGAAGATGAAGGAAAGTCACAAAGCGTCGTTCACTGCCAAGCGAGTGGCTCTCTTGGCAAAGGCTTCGAAGCCAAGCCAATCTTCATGTTTCGGCTCTGAATCAGCTGTCGGCGGTTCGGGAACATTTTCACACATGTCGAGGAACCGCAGTATTTGATCCAGGTCTCGATCGATACCGCTCCAATACAGATCACTGAGTTCTTTATTGAGCGTTTTTGGATGATGAGAATCAAGCTCCGCCCAATTAACCCTTGGACTCGGGAGTAATTGAACAGAAGAGGTCCGTAATTTCCACATGGTGATTGCGGTAGGATGAAAGGTGCGCAAGGTAGACGTCAAACGCAGTGAGAAAGTCCAATGTGTTCAGTTTGGAAAGGGAGAAGGCGGAGTACTATTGAAGGCAGCTTGAATCAATAAGGGGGCGGGTAAGAGAGCACAATGCCATTGCTGGTTGACACCACTTCGGAATTATACGTATCGGGTAAATGCTGAGATTATGCAATATCTGACCCGCGTGCATTCTGGATCTACTTGTCGTGTTGATTCGCCCAGACCTGAGGTCTGCCTAGGTACCTTAAAGAGGCGAACCAACATCAAAGGCCGAAAACCATCCAATTGGTCGAGCCATTTGTTTATATTTCATGAGGTAGAACGCGGCCATGATTGGAGGCGTTCTCTGGCGATGCCTGACGCGTAATGGCAGCCTGGTCAAAAATGCACTTTCCCTTGCTATACTTTGTCACAGTAAGAAAGAGAGGAACTGCAAGCCCACAATATCTTCGTCTCTTGACACGGAAGAGTAACGTCTTCCTGTTGACTCAATTTTCTAACTAAATTTGTCTTGACTGCTGCTTTACCCCACGAGTAACTCTTTCAACTTGAGCATGTCTGTGGCACGCCATTCTCTGGGTGCCTCCGCGTCCGGGGCTGGGTCTATGAACTCTACGACTCTGGCTGGTGCTTCGGCAGCAGTAGCTACGATGCTCAATGAGATCGAAGACTTTAGCGATTCAGATCTTTTCGGTAAGATTTACAAAGGGCCCATCTTCAGTGGCTAATGTGATGCTGATTGTGTCTAGTTTGGCTAGGGCTTGTGAGAGAATCGCAGAATAAGAAAGTAAGGGCGCAACGTGCAATGAACTTGCCCGACATAGTCTCTAGGGGCCAAGAATCCGTGAAACTACCTACGGTAGAGTGAACAAGGTTTGCATATAAGTCAACATACCCACTTCCTGGCACCCCCCTGTTTCTGGCACCCACAAAAACGCGAAAATCCACCACAACCCAATGCCCACCCCCAACCTCCTTTTATCACAACATTTTCAATTCGCGTCCAAATGGGCTCATCTTTTGCACATGTCTTCTTCTATATATAATGCCTCAATATACCGAAGATCAGCTTCGTCAGGCTCTCGAGGA